TAGATTTTAACTTTTAACTTATTTTTGTTTCATCCTAGCTCCTTTTACAGGTGTAGTGCATTTTATATGGCTTTTATGCTTTTGTTTTCACTATACACCACCCACCACCCAGTCCCTCTGAGGGTGAGATGGGTGGTAATTAATTTTGATAAATATTTCCATTATAAAAATCTGGTTATTCTTAGAAATGCATCACACCAAAGTATGAAATGTAATTAATGACAGAAAAAAACAACCTTAAGGACCCAGTTTTTAGGATTGGGGGGGGCAGAGAGATTAAGCCTGTTCTGTAGGGCAATAGATTCAAAATTTTCAGCCCTATAACCTCTACACATCTGTGCCATCTTTGATCAGATTCACAGTGCAGTATGTGATGTCCATATCTGGATAAGGTGTTAAATGGTTTGTCCCAGGATTAATAAACAATATCACAGGCTGATATTCCCCATTCTGGTCTCCAGAGAGAGGGAGGGAGATGTAATTGTTGCAAAATAAGACCACTCCAGTCACTGCTCCCATCCCTTTTTAATACCCACAAATGAAACTGATTTTTTTTTAAAAAAAATACCAAATATGCTTGGCAATTATACCAATGTAATGAAAAAACAGAAAATTGTTACTGTGTTATGGTACAGATGTCCAATCACATCTGGATGGCAGCTGAGGACCCTCCTCAAGAAGTTTGCTCCCGTGAGAGCTCACGGGTGCCTGATGCTCTGTTCTTTTATTTTTCTTTTTAATACAAAACATTCTGGTACCTTCATCTCCACAAGGTGTCTTCCAAATGTTTGGGGACTACAACTCCCAGAAACCTTAACCAAAGGCTCCCTTACATCAGCTGGTCACATCCTTGCCAAAACATCCACAACTCATATGGATATATCCCTTGGATATATACTCTTGGAAAAATATCTGTAAGAGTTAACTTTGAAATTTCCATCCCATTTGTAAGTTTTCTCTCCCTTCCCAGATTGAGGTTAATTCTGTCTACTCAACCAGGACACTAGAATGCTTGCAAAGCCAAGTCATGCAGACATGGATATGTTCAATAACACAGGATAGGCAAGACCCTGATACTAGAAAAAACAAGAGCATTGATAATTAAGTGACAAGGAAGTACAAGATTACAAATGTAATTGATTACAAATTAATTATAAAAAGAGAAAGCTTAGTCTTTGACTAAGCCTGAGTCTCTATTTTATACCTGCTAAATGTCAAACCAGAGCTTCAGCTAGCTCCAATTGCCCTGATCAACTGCCCTGATCAGCTTAACCATAAATACTGTACAATATAGACACTATTCTTATTCTGCAACTCATGAGAACCAAAGATACTGGATGCCTTTGCACAACTGCAGGAACAGCAGCAGGCAGTCTCTCTGTGCTACTGTCCCATCATTGCACCAAAATGTAATCAAACTCCTAGAAAAGTTCTCTCCTTGGAATAAATCTTGTCCAGAAAATCATTAGTACATTAATTAAAACAGTTCAAATGGGTTGGTAGTGATTATAGAAAAGAAAAAAAGCAAGTAACTCAATTTAAAGAATGATTGCTAATTAAAAGCAGGAAGCTAATCTGATGTTATCCCCAAGCAAGGAAATCCATCTATGCCGCTTCATGTCCTCTTCTCCCTCCATGATTTATAAAGCCTCTGTCCTTTAAGAGCTTAGTCAAGTACCTACTTTGTAAAAATGGAGAAACCAAGAGCAGGTGGTAAGGGCTCTAGGGGTTATATGTTTAGGGGAGGGGGGGTTAATCCTTGTACACTGTTCAGAGTCACTTGTATGAGATGGGTGGCCTCAAAAAATGGAAGATAGATAGATAGATAGATAGATAGATAGATAGATAGATAGAGAGAGAGAGAGAGAGAGAGAGAGAGAGAGAGAGAGAGAGAGAGAGAGAGAGAGAGAGAGAGAGAGAGAGAGAGAGAGAGAGAGAGAGAGAGAGAGAGAGATATTCAAATCTTTGCAATTAATGCAACCTGCTTTTTTTAAATAAATGTTGCAGAAACCCATTTACCAGAAGTTAACTGATTATGGCTGTCCCCTGTTCTTCCCATCAGTCCCCTTTCCTAATTTTTTCTACTACAGTCTACTTTTATTTTAGTCTGGTGGAAACATTTTCAAAATTTCACTAGGCAGCAACCACCCTCCCCTCCCTTTTCGGACTCTAAAACTTTGATCAGGCTTATCACCTTCTGGGATAGACAAGTTTCCTGTTTTCTCCAGTAATCCCCCTCTACTTGCCTCAAAGAACAACAAAGTTCAGAGACCTTTGATTATGAACAAATGACCTTTGTCTTTCCAATAAAAGTTGAGAGTTTAACA